CTGTGTACCTTTGCTTTGTTAACCATGAACCATGTGTTGTGATGACCAGCAACTCTTTTGGGGCAGGATATCTTAAGAACATGTCCTTCTCAGTTATTCTATTAAACACCCCTTCACAAACACTGAACCCCCTTTTTGTTCCCCCTGCCAGTGAATGGTCGGGTTAACAACACTTTTTCTAATTTTTTTTTCTTTCTTTTAATTTTGAAACACGTTCTCATGCAGCTCAGGTTAGCCTTGAACTATATAGGCTAGGTGGCCTTGAACTCCTGACTCTCCTGCCTCAGCCTCATGAGGGCTGAGGTATATTTAACAGATAATCATACTATTATCTGTTCCAGAGAGTTATTACCTCGTTTTCACCCAAGTTATTTTGAGAACGGAACAATAGAGCAGTCATTTGGCTCTCAGCGCAGGTGAGCCTGACCCCTGATCAACACTGGGACACGTGCCAAGAAGAGCTTCATTATTCTGGGATATTCCGGCAGAGCAGGAAGAACAGGACTCCCATTCCTCCACAGAGGACCAGCTTCCTGCCTGCCTTTGTGCCACCATGCATGGACAACAAAGAAGAAAGGTGGTGACAAAATGCAAGATGTGTGGGTTGGGGCCAGCAGAAAATGAATGCTTTTTTTTTTTTTTTTTTAAGGGAAGGCTTTACACCCACACAGCTATTCATTCCTCTCATTTTGTTAACCTGTCTACATCTCAGCTACAGCTGACCACTGTGCTCACAACATTCACGGCAATTACACCTAGCTGGGAAATGAAAAAAAAAAATCCCTCTGATTACTTTTTCTAGACATATAACTGTGGCTCTGCCAGCAAAGATGCTTCTGAGTGGGGAGCATGGGTTTCACTTAGGGGTTCTTTGTATGTTGTAGTCTCCTTGAAGGATTCCCTTGGTGGAGAACTTCCCTATGGTAACCTGGCTCCTAAAACCTTTCATAATCCAGCCAGTTCCAGTAGCTAAACTTTCATTCCCCAAGGAAGAGCATTACTTCTAAGTTAGCAGAACCTAATCAGTTAGAGGGCATACTTCGAAGTCATTCCCTTTCCTTTCTGCCAGTGACAAGGGCAACAGAGAAAACTCTACAGATACAGTCGATAAACTTAGAGGGAATAAAACAGCTCCAGAGTGATCACAGGAAAGGGTGGATAGGGAAGAAAAATAGGAGGGAGGAAAAGAAAGGGAAACAGAGACTGAGCGAGAGACAGGAAAAGAAACTGACAGTGAATGACAAAGAGAATGAACAACTTTCCCTATTTAATAAGAAACAAAGCCTTACATTTCCAAGCAGTTCAGGCATTTATGGCTAACTGCTAGTTCACCCAACAAGCATCCTATTATTATTGTTTTTTTTTTTCATGAAGCCTGAGCTCACCCTCCTCCAGCTCCTTTGGAGTCACACAGATTACCAAAACATAGAAACTTCTTTAATTTCATTCTTTTTCCCTTACTAAATAAAAATGTCCCTAAGAGCCCAGTTTGCCCATCTGGTCAGTAAAACATATACATATACATATACATATATACATACATACATACATACATACATACATACATATATATATATCTCCTAATCAGTGGTCAGTAAAACTTATATATATATCCTAAACAGTGTGTGGTTAGATCAGACCAAGGTAGGCAGACTATGTTTTGTGGGAATATCAGAAATGCAACAACTCAGCAAATAGAAATTTTGCTTTCTTAGAGTGACTGGCTCATCTTTACATATCTGACATTAACACCAAGCATTCATTCCCTAGGGTTATTTTGTGTTCTTATGAACACATCAAGAATTGCTCTTGATTTAGGAATGGCAGCATGACACTGTGAGCATTTTCATCACTCACCAAAGGCCACCACATAGTTAGGACTAGAGACAGGGCTTAACTCTGGGTTTGTCCTCAGGCTCCTGGTCTAAGGCAAAGCTCCATCACTCCCCTGAACCAGTGATATATTCCCTTTCCCAGAGTCAAACACGATGCAGCAACACCAGACTAACCAGGGAAGAGAATTTATAGAAACATCTTCAAAGAAAACTAGAAAATGAATAATTCCTAATTTGAAAAGCCTTCCTTAGTCCTCTTTTATGTGTGGTTCCTACCTATTATAGTCCTCACTCTGGGTGCTAAACACTTCACTGAGATAAAATCATAGAGCCCCTGCGAAGTTAGGCTGTAAAGTGAACCTCCCCAGAGCTCTTAGTTTTACCTGCTATAGACCAGGGACTCTCGGTTATTGATGACTTTATCAGATTTATATCTCCGGAAGTCTTCCCAGGCATCCTTGATGGCAGTGACAGTGAGGATGACACAGACCGGAACCATGCTCACCCCTGGCTGGAATGCATTGACCACGGGGATGAAATTCAGAACAACAATGCCCACAAAGTAGAGATTGGCAAACCGGTGCAGCTGCTCAAAAATGTTCTTGGGTATAAAGGACAGCACTGTGTACTTGCTGGTCTTGACTTGGTTCCCACAATAATGGCGGTTGGGGTTTTCTTTGTAGGGCCATCCTTCGAAAGGCAGGTTTGAGACCACGACCCTCTTCTTGTCTTCTTTCTTTTTCCGTCTTTTCCTCCCTTCCTTCCGCATCTTTGCTTAAGTCTATCTCTGCTATTCTCATAATTTAATTAGCATCTTTCACTCCTTGTCTCCTGTGCTGAAAATGTCTCATGTTTTAAAACTACCAATAAAAAAAAGTTTAAAAAAAGAAGAAAAGAACAACAAGCTAGCCTGCAAATAGTGTGGGAGAACGCTGATCAGGAAGGAGCTTGCAGAGAATGAGTGTGTGTCCAGGAGGTACTTCCTTCTGCCAGGTACAGACTCCACCTGTTGGAATGTAGGAGTCATTCACAGGTGGCTTCTTTTCCTACACAGGTGCACTAATTCTGGGTCCTAAAACCTACCAGGTTAAGTAACAAAATGGATTTTTATCCAGGCACTCTGCAGCTTTAAAAATGTCATACATTTGTGTGTGTGTGTGTGTGTGTGTGTGTGTGTGTGTGTGTGTGTGTGTGAGATATCATCTGACACCATCACCAGACCTTCTTAGGAAATTAGTCTCCTATGATGATCTAATCATCTCAGAGTCTAATTCTTGGGTTTCTAGCTCTATCTTAATAATACCAAGTCTGTGTGGCTAAGAATATGAGGATTTCCCTGAGTTACATCAAGGTTTCTCAACTTCAACCTTGCTATTTTTGACTAGTTTGTGTGTGTGTGTGTGTGTGTGTGTGTGTGTGTGTGTGTGTGTGTGTGTGTGTGCATTTCCAGTCCTGTGTATTTAAGATATGTACTTGCACCTCCAGCTTCCATCCACTAGATGCTGGTAGTATCCTGCCTACCAGCTATCCCCACTTCTCCCTTCATGGGAGGGCAGGTGGGAGGAGGTGTATTCCAAAATCACCTCCAGCTGAGAATTGATGAATTAAGAAAACATGATGTCTGAAAAAGTCCTAAGGAATCAAACTTTTCACTATCTACCTAAGAAAATCCCTACCATACACTTAAGTCACTGTGTTAAATATACATATGTAGTCCAAACTAAATTATCTTATCTGAGCTGACAATGCTCCCTCTAAGAGCCAAAGAAGATGCATCCAACAAAAACCCCAACATGAGGCATTGGAAATCACCTTTTGAGTATTTGGTCACAGATTCCCAAAACATGACAGGCTACTGCTAGAGGTAGAAGGTAAATTCCTACTAGTGAAGACATCATGCACTTTAGACACAGGGCCCAGGGGTTCTTGAACTGGAATTGACCTGCAGCTGCTGAGGACTAACTTTCATGATGCCAGAAGGTGCCATTCAGCTTCTAAAGGAGGGAGGAAACCCAACCAAATATTCTGCCTATCTATAATACCTCTGAAGCACAATGGCCACTATGGCACAAATAACTCTTACAACGTAGTGGTGACATGCATATCTTGGTAGTAACTAGTAGCTCTCTCATTGGACTAAGTCCCATCAACAAGAAGAAAATCATATCCACTACTGGAAACATAGCCAACTGCCCAGGGCTAGGGAAGTCATGGATCTTGGAGGAAGAGAACCTACAGCTGATCCTTTACTAAATCAGCATAATCCCTAACTACACTCTAAATATTTGTCTTTCTATCCACATCTAAGTGTAGTCACTTCAAGGAAACTTCTCTTTTCAAAAGGTGGAGAGCATCACAGAAAAAGCATAACCAATCCAAATAGCCACTCCCAACTGATACATCTATAAAACACACCTTCACCTAAGGCTTAGGGAACTTGGGAGAAAAGTAAGTGGGAAGATTCTAAGAGCCAGAGGAGCATGGAGTTTTCTGTGGGACTGTGTCTCCTAGTGATGGCAGAAATCTCATCAACATGACTGCCTAAACTTGAGCTGAATAACAACAACAGACATGCTAACATGCATGGGAGAAAGTCCATGAGGCCTCAACTCTGAACAAAGAACTATAGGCAACTAAGAAATGCTGAGATTGAGTGGGGAAAATGATCATACATAAAGTAACATATAGACTGAGCAGATTATATTTAGGAATGTGTATATATCTTTATCTGTTTGTCTGTCTCTCTCTCTGTGTGTGTGTATAAAACAATAATTAATGAGAAAAGAAACAATGAATTTTAAAAAGCACAAGGGGAGGTATATGAAAGGGTTTGGAGGGAGATAAGGAAACAGGAAATGATGAAATTATTATAGTAAAAAATAAAATTTTTAAAAAGATTAAAATATTTGAAAAATAATATGAGGTTAGTTTAGTGGGTAAGGGTGCTTGCCATCAAATCTGATGACTTAATTTTAATATCCAGACACATATTAGAAGGGAGAATCAACTTCTACAAGTCCTTTGTCCTCCATATGTGTGTTGTGGTAAACACACACACAGTAAGTAAAGTTAAAAGCCACATTGCAAGTAAAGATCAGTTCCTTAAATATGCTGATGAGTTTATTTAACCTGTTTGTGGACAGAACAATGGTAGAGTCCCCTTACCTTTCATATATCTGAATGCTGGCACTGTTCATCTCTCTATCAAAGCGGTATCTCTTAAAGTCCTCTATGCCATCTTTGACCATGATGATAAACAGGACGATGGCCAATGGTAACATGGTGATTTCCCTGTGGAAGACTTCCATGGAGGGCATCCAGTTCAGAATCACCAGGAACAGGAAGTAGAGGTTGGCCCACCTGGAGGAACAAGCAAGGTGTGAGTAAAGAAAAATGTACTTCTCCAGTCTCTTCAGTTATTGGTTTTAACCAAATCAAACACCTCTTTCAGTGTCAAGCCAAACACTGTAGTATAAAGGACTTGAAGGCAAATGCCATAGATGTTTCTTTTGCATCAATTTTAAAATTACATGTTCTTATTTTCTCTCTCTTTGTTTGCACAAGAGTGCATATGACCTTTGCCATGGTGTGAATGTGGAAGTCAGAGGACAACTTGCAGGAGTGGATTCTCTACTTTCAAAAAGTGGGTCTTAGGGGTTGAACTCAGGTCATTCATCTTGTGGCAATTCTCTTTGCCTTCTGAACCATCTCACTAGCCTTGTGTCTGAGGTTTACTAGTTCATTGCCCTGTCTAAGTTTGTTCTCTCTTGTGTAAGATAACATAATATCATACTGTCTACTTCAAAGGGCTCTTACAGATGTTATGTGGCATAAAAATTCGTTTTGTGTATGCTAAAGGGTTCTGAAGCATAACAGCTGATAAATATTAGTTACAAAATTCATTAGGTGTTGTGATTTCTTTAAGTATATATTTGATTTTAATTAATAATTATTTTTGTACATTGTTAGAAAAGAAGGGATTATACTTTCAAAATTTTAAAAGTGAATATCATTTCCTCTGCCACAGAGCCTTTGCAGATGAAACTGTGTAAGCAGAAATATTCTTCTGGTTCCCCTCCCACTTCTTTCTTTTCATTCCTTTCTTAAAAACAAAACAAAACAAAACTGTGTGGATGTGTCATGTGAATTGCATTCACATGCATGTCGTTTCACATGCATGTTGGTTCAGGTGGATTTATGCATGTGTGCATGCCAGACATTTGAAGTCTTCCTCAATCACTCTCTATTTTACATAATAAGGCAGGGTCACTTACTTGAACCTACAGTTTGCTGATTTGACTAATCTAAACTAGCCAGTTTTGCTCTGGGGCTCCCCAGTCTCTCTCTCCTAAGAACCTGGACTCCAGGCAGGCAGCCTCACACTTGCCTAGTGCTTAAAGCGTTGCTGGACATCTGAACACTGGTCCTCACACTTGCTTCAGTGAATACTTTAGCCCCCCAAGTACTCCTGTGAGTCACCTACTCAGTCATATCTGAATTGTTACTTCCTCAAGGAAGCCTTTGCAGACATTAATAAGTAGGTCAAATTCTCATTGTAAAGCACTATATACCTCTCCCTGTTAAGTTTTAAAAACTAGCACGTGTCTCAGTCAATAGTACAATGTGTCCAGTATTTACTTTCCCCCCATGTATTTCTACCTCTCAACACATAACCAGGTAAGTCATCACTTGAACAATGAGAGAAGCTTGTGTCACATATGCATTTGAATATTAAGGGGTGCTGCTTAGAGAATAGTGTCTCTCACTATTGTCTCAGTGGTAAAAACGAGGCTAAGGTATGTAGAGTTATGTGTGTGGGGTGGCTGCATACCTATGAAACTGCTCAAAGAGATTCTGAGGCAGGAAGGTGAGCAGGGTATATTTGGTTGTACAGATGCTGTTGCCTGGGTACCTCCTGGAGACCTTCTTCCAGTCCTGGTGACACATGCCATTGTTGGGGTACACCACCCGCTCCTCTGTTGGGTTGTAGCTCTGATGGCCCATCTCTGGAGAAAGCAGTGGGGTGCTTTCTGAAGGGGACTGGGGGAAGCCATTTTGGGTTCGCCATTTCCACCGGAGCCAAGAAAAGTCCAAGGAGAGAGTCATTTCCAGAAGCAGGTGACAATGGTCTGAAAGCACACAGGAAGTTGCGATCAGGAGAGATGACTGGAATACCAACACATGAAGTCACTATGGTAAGGAGGAAAACACAACATCTCTTCATTTGTCTATGCAAGGTCCAGTATTAGAAAAATGCAGACAGTCCCTACAATGCATCTGTTTTAGTGTCAGACATATTAAGCAATAAAAATAATCTACAACTAACACAAGGATTAGTGTTGTAAAAGCAGGTAATAATGATGGTGTGGCAGGAGTTGGTGACCTGGTTGGTACAGTCATAGAAAAGCCAAAGCTTGGCCTGCAAGGATAGCATACCAGAGGGCTAAATTTGAACTCTGGTTCATTCTTAATGGTAAATCTTTTCTATTCGCCTTGTTCATCTTCAACTTGCCCACATAAAAAGAAGAAAGATGTGCTGGAGGGATGGTTTAGTGGTTAAGAGCACTTGCTGCTCTTGCAGAGAACCTGGGTTCAGTTCCTGGTACTCATATCAGATGGCTCACAATTGCATGCCAATCCAGCTCCAGGGTATCTGATGCCTTCTTTTGGGCGCTATAGATACTAGGTATGCATGTAGTATTTCCTGGAACTGGAACTGAACTTAAAGACAGTTATTAGCCACTACATGGGTGCTAGGAGTTGAGAATATGAGTTCTCTGGAAGAATAGTAGGAACAAATTTGAGAGGAAAAAAAAATGGGCAGAACATAAAACGATGTTGTCATGTTTTAAGACAAAATGCCAGATGTTTATTTTTTAATTTTAACTGATTTTAAAAAATGTTAGCATACTGTATAATAGGTTTTATTATAACATTTTCATCCATATACATCATGATATTTTGTAATTGGTCCCCTCTTACAGGCTTTCTGTACCCACCCTCTTCTGGTCCACTCCTCCCTTCATAGCTCCCTCCTTCAGTTTTCACATGTATTCCATTGCCAAGAGCGCTTTTGTTTTAGGGATTTCTTTGGATATAAAAATTTTAACCTTGTACCATTTCAGAGCAGGGCATCAAAATGGATGAGACTGGGGGTTGTGGCTCAGTTGGCAGAATGCTTGCCGAGCGAGTGTGAGGCATTGGGTTCTATCACACATAATCCACATGTGGAGATGCACATCTGTAATCTTAGCATTTAGGAGACAAAGGCAGGAGAATCTCAGGCAAGGTCATTCTCAGCTATACAGCAACTTCATTGGCAGCCTAGTGGGTTACATAAGATCTCCCTCCCCTGTCTCTCTCTCTCTTTCTCTCTTCCTCTCCCTCTCCTGTGTCCTCTCCCTCTCCCCCCTCCTCTCTCTCTCTGTGTTTCCTGTTTGTGGATGGGGCGTAGGCTGCTACCAGGCTCCTTGTCATAATAGACATGAGCTCTACTGCTCTGGAACTGGAGTCCCAAATTCAAAGCTTCTTTCATTAAATTGCTTTGGTCATGGCAATAGGACATGGAGCAAAGCAAATGTGGACTGAATTTCCTGAAGCCATGAGCAAAAAAAGCAGGCTTCATTGATGAAGTTGTTTCTGTTGGGTATTTTGGTCACAGTGATGCAAAGGTAACCAGCAAGTGTGGAGGATGGTGCTGGGACTCTGCATCTCCCAGCTGCCAGGCTTTTTAATGGAATGCACAACTAAACCCTCAAGGTTCCTCTTGACCAATTTTTTTGAAGTCCTAGAAGTAAATCTCTCAAAGATATATTTTGTGAAGTTAGAGGCTGTGTATAATGATCTTTTTCACTTACTGGGCTCATAGGATTATTTTCTTTTGAATAAATACATGAGTTAATGTCAGTTGTTATTAATCTTACAATGAACAGCCTAGGCTTCTATTGTAAATCTGATCATTTATGGGAAAAGAAAAAATTCCATTTGTAGTTTAAATGGTAATATTTTACTTTCCTGATGTTCACATGACCTGACCCTCATCGTCATTCTCCTCATGGCTTTAATCAATATGAATGATTTTTCAATCTGCAGACCCCAGGGCTGCAGGAAGTTCTTCAGAGAGTACACAAACCCTTATAGCAAGCATAAAAAAATAAATGCAATTACAGATGCCCATCATATTGGGACCAAAAGCAATATTATGACATTTCATTTTGTAAGCCAGAAAGAATATTATGTGTCTTTTTTCTCATTATGAAAAGATATGCTTTTTTTATGGGTACCTTTTTATTGCAAAGGCAAAGGAAATGAAAAGATAATTCATGAGCAGAATTGAAAATGCAAGCGAGAAATCTTGCCTTGGTTAATGCTGTATACACCAGAGACCCCTCTCTTTTGGGTGGCAAGATCTTTTTAATGAAGATATTGTACCGATAGAAGTGATGAAGGTATTTTTTTCAGCATAGTTTTAAACACCTCTTTGTCATAATCACATTTTTAATTTTAACAGCAAGCTGGGTCTGGCGGTACAGAGCCATAATCCTAGCTACTCAAGAGACTGAAGGAGGAAGACTACAAAGCCAAGGTCTACCTGGGCTAGAGAGTAGGTTCAAGGTCAGCCTGGGCAACCTAATGAGGGTCAGCCACAGAACAAAATTTTAAAGCAGGGATTTAATTCAAAGAAGAATGCAGCTCAGTGATAGAGGCATGCTTAACATCTGTAAGGCCCTAGACTCAATTCCTAGAACCATGTGAAAAACAAAGTACAGTAAACTTCTTTAAAAGTAAAAGGATGAGGATTAGGGACGTCGTTCATTCGGAGGCTATTTGCCTTGTATACATGAAGGTATTGGATTTAATCCCCAGCATTGTGAGGTTTGGCGGAGGGAGCAGAGCAGACATGTGAAGGATAGCAAATTAATGAAGGAAAGTTTGATAAGGAATTGGATATTTTCTTAATTTTAAGGGATAATAATATTGGGAAATTTTGATACCTTGTGCCTTTCTGATGCCTCTACTGTAACTAGTTCTTGTAGACCAGGCTGGACTTGAACTCCCACAGATCCTCCTGCCTCTGCCTCCCAAGTGCAGAAACATTATTTTTTAAAACCCTCAAATTATGGGTTTATTAACAAAATTATGAGAGCCTGTATTTTTCTTTTCTTTCCTTTTTGCTTTTTTTTTTTTTTAGACAGGGTTTCTCTGTATTGCTTTGGAGGTTGTCCTGGAACTCACTCTCTCGACCAGGCTGGCCTTGAACTCACAAAGATCCTCCTGCCTCTTCCTCCCAAGTGCTGGGATTAAAGGTATGAGTCACTGATGCCTGGGGAACCTGTATTTTTTCAAGTGTCACAAATTAAAGAAAGGCTTGGAATTGCTTGTGAGAGAAGGAAGTTAAATAGAATATGATTCTTAATGGTATTCTGGGCTGGGGGTGGGAGATATAAAGGTCCTAAGGAGCAGAGCATGGTGGTTCATAACTAAATCCTAGCACTGAGGATGAGACTTGAGGAAAGAGTTCAAAGCCAGCCTGCGATACATGGCAAGCCCCGTTCTCAACAACAAATAATAAAATCAAAACAAATCCAAAAGAAATAAAGAATTGCTTCCATGCATTAAGAAAACAAAATGCAGATTAAGTAGTGTAGTGACTTAGTAATGTTAATCATTTTACTTTGGTTATTTTCAGTAATTGCATGAATTGTATAAAAATATATTTGTTATTAGGAAGTTCATCCTAAACTATTTAAGGATGGAGCAACATATCTCAGTGTTTCCTATGAGCACAGACATTCATGGGCACACACATATTTACAGAACCACAGAGGAGGGTGCCTGCAAAGCAACATTATTTAAAACATTATCTAACAAGCCTGTAAAGAGAGAAGTCAGGCAGGTTAGGGGGGACGGTATTCTAGGCACATGGATCTAGAAGCAGAAAAATATAGGCCTTTTCCTCAGAGATCAAGAAGCTTGGCCACTGCTGGTGGCAGAGGCTGGGACTGGAAAGACCAGACTGGGTCCGATGGCTAGTTAAACATGCTGTGAGGAGGAGGAGAGGAGGAGAGGAGGAGAGGAGGAGGAGGAAGGAATCCTGAAGAGTTTTAGGCAGAAGAATGATGAAATGGAGGAGGAGGGGCTACAAGCATGAGAGTGAGCTGAGAGCTGAGGCTGGGGGCTGACAGGCAGCTCTGTAACCTCACCCAGTTGTTCCTCTCAATAAAGTTCTTCTTCCCAACAGTGGGACAGAAAGCAAGGACCATATCATGTTTTATATGAGGTGTGGTCTATTATTGCTCAGAATGGCAGGGAAGGGCACTCCTGACTGCCCAAGGTCCTCCTTGTAAAGTTGTCATCTTTACTTCTCAAAACGATGCCTCCCATTAACAGGAAATTTGAGGACCACCTAGCTTTATTAGTTTATGCACAAAGTCATCCTGCCTTGAAGGACCAGAGTTATTTTTCTCTCTGCAGAATGTCTTCTAGATAGTGGTGGTGGTGGTGGGGCATTCTGATGAGGTGGGCCATTAGCCTAGCATAGCTGATTAAGCAGGAATCCTGTTTTTCAGACCTTAACTTCCTCATTTTGCCTGGCTCACATTTCTTATTGATTTCAATTCCTTTTTTTTTCATTTCCTTTCATTTTAGCTTTAGCAAATTCCATTCTCTCAATTAGGGAGTCAACTAGTTATTCACGGAATCAATAGTTGTTTATTGGGCCTTTAACAGGATGAGTAAAATGCACATGTACATCCTTCTCCTGAAATTATTTTAGTGTGGTGGAGAAATTTTTAAGTACATATTTATAGAAGCAAGCATATATACTCACCAGTGTAGAAGAGTCACAAAGGAAAGCTGGGCAGTGACATCATACTTAGCAATAGTGTGACCTTATTTCTTAGGAGGTGGGGTTAATGTGAGGTCAGGAATCAATGAGAGACAGCTAGGAAGGAATGTGAGAGAGAAGGATGGGGGCCAGGGAAGGATTTAGAGAAGCAGCAGTTATCCTGGAAAGCATGGGAAGTTACCCAAGAAGGCTAGAAAGTGGAATAAGAAATCTAAGGATTGATATTGTTTTTTTCTCATCACAACTTTTTAAAGTATATACTAAAAAGTAAAAGTT